TCCTCCATCCATCCTCCCATCCATCCATCCTCCCATCCTCCCATCCGTCCATCCTCCCATCCATCCATCCTTCCATCCATCCTCCCATCCATCCATCCTTCCATCCTCCCATCCATCCATCCTCCCATCCTCCCATCCATCCATCCTCCCATCCTCCCATCCTCCCATCCATCCATCCTTCCATCCTCCCATCCATCCATCCTCCCATCCTCCCATCCATCCTCCCATCCATTACTCAGGAGCCGCTTGTGCAGTCTATGGCCTGGCAGGGGAGGGGGAGGGGGAGGGAAACAAACACAGCGCCGCATGAGAAACCTGCTTGATGCAGATGCTATGCTGGCCTCGGTGACTGCAGAGATGGGTGCCACTCCAGTGGGGGCCAGTGGGAGGCCATGTGGGGCAGCTGCAGGGAGGCGTGAGCCCTTGAGGTGGGTCTTGGGGGATGAGCAGGGGTGTGAAGCAGCCAAAGGACCAAGTGTCAGCCCTGTGGCTGCATCAGACCAGGCTTGTCGGTCACAGTTTTCTATGATGCCAAAGAGAAAAAAGGCCAATTTGCAACCTGTGGAGTTGGCCTTGGGCCTTGGCAAACACAGCACCTGGAAAAAGATTAGACAGACATGGAATGCCTGTTGTGAGGTTCCTCCCCAGGCCGAGGACCCAGCTTCGGCAGAGTGAGCCCACCAGCCCAGTGAAGCCGGGGGCAGGCGTGGATGTGCCCATGAGCCTTGTGGGGCACTCGGGGCAGCCCCTTGCCAGGCCTGGGGGAGCCCAGCTTGGCTGTTAGAGCTGAGCTCTGGGGAAGGAGGAGTCAGGCCGGGTCCCCTGGGCACGGCTCCCTTTGTACGGAGACTTCAGTGTCCCTGGATCGGGGACCGCACGTCCCTCAGTGGTTCGCTGGTGCTGGTGCAGGGCCTGGGTCCTCGTTAGAGGCGCTGATGCTCTCGCTCCCTCTGTGGGGGCCAAAGCCTTGCTTCTGACTCCAGTGGCAACCGCACCCCTCCCCCTTTATTCCCACCACTGAGACCTCCCTGGTGCCTGCCTGTCCCTGACTGCCTGGAGACATGGGCACGGCTTCCTGGGTGTCTAAGGAGCCACAGCTGGCAGTGGCGTCACCCAGGGGTGGTGCAAAGGACATTGTCCTCAGGGATGATAAAAAATAGCTAAGGGGAAGGCTTGGGGGGGGGGGGGGGGGGGAGGGGAAAGGGCAGAGGAGCCAGCAGCTTCAAGAACAAGAGAGAGGGCCTGGCTGGCTGAGCGGCACCAAGGGGAGAGACGGCCTCTTCCTGCTCCCTGGGTGAACCTGAACACCCTGTTGGAACAGGGGGATCCGACTCTCCCCATGCCAGGACCAGAAGCCGGGGTTGAGGGAGGCCAGGACAGAGGTCGGGGTCAAGCTTGCACCAGGCCAGGGGCGTCCTTCCCCTTTTGGGCTCCAATCCCCTTGGGAGCTTGTGAATCCTGAACCCCTTCTCAGAGACCCCTTCTAAAAACACACAGTTAAGTTCACTGGATACAAAGAAACCCAGCTCTGCTGAGATTTTTTTTTTTAATCTGGTAATGGTTGTGGCTCTCCATCAACATGTAAGACAATAAAATCTCACCGCAGATGTAACAATTGCCATGAGGGGAAACTGAGGAGGGGAAACTGAGGCTCAGAGCTGAGATGGTGGCTTGGACACAGGCGGCAAATAGCAGGGAGGGGAAGGGTGCACTGGATTTGTGTTTTCTCTGCCAAAACTGTTGCCCCAGCACCAGCCTGCTGCACCTGCGCTGAGGAGTGACCCAAGGGGGTGCGCCAGAAGGGGGCGCAGCCAGACACGAGCATGCATCTGAGGTCAAAGGGAGCGGAGGTGGTGAGTGGGAGTAAGGGTGGGGACGGGCCATGGGAGGCAGGAAGGAAAGGCAGGTGGAGCGGGGCAGCCCTCTGTCCCCGCCCCCGCTCCCAGACAGGTCTGCAAGGTTCTCGCAGAGGCCCACAGGGTCCTGGCTGCCTCTCACCTCTTCCTGCTACGTGTTGGCACTGGACTTTGCCAGCTCCGGGGCACAGCTGGAGAATTCACGGACTATGTCCCAGGCACTGCACCCCGTGTCATCGCACAGGGTTTTGTAGCTCACCGGATGCTTTCAGGTACCTGCTCTCACTTGAGTCTCATGCTGTGGGGTAGGCCGATGAACCCCACTGGCTGTCCCCGACGGCCGCGGCACTGGGAGCCTGGCTGCGTGTTTTGTTCCTTCTCTTGAATCCCCTGAGGGAGCCTCAGCACCTAGCACAGCGGCGGGGACCTTGCAGGCACCTCCCACCCTCCTGCCCTTGTTTTCTGAGTCTCTGGTGAGTGAGGGGATGAGAACTCAGGCCCGGGGTTAAGGCCCCAGGCTGGCCCAGCGCGCCCCACTGCTCGTGGTCGCGTCTCTACACCTGTTGACGGGAAAGGCCACAGCCGCATAAATCAGTAGAATATAGTCTGAGGGTGGAGGTCCCAAGGAACAAAGCAAGTCCACCAGACAGAATGAACTGGGAGAGCTTCCTGCAACAGTGAGTTTTGAGCTAGATCTTTTCCAACTTTTAAATGACAACTACAAGCAAATGTGTGGAAATATTGGAGAAAGGTGCGACGCACACCCGAAGCTGTGCCCTCTTTCTAGGTGTGTGTGTGTGTGTGTGTGTGTGTGTGTGTGTGATTTCCCTGAGCACCTCAGCCCTGTCCTAAGATTGGGCTATTGGCCAATACTCCCCTAAACCAAAGCCATCTTTCTACCTAAGAAAATCATCAATCATTTCCTAACACCCAGCTCATGTTCAAATTTCTTCAACTGTCTTTTTAAAATTTTATTTATTTATTTGAGAGGCAGAGTTACAGAGAGAGAGGGAGAATCAGAGGCAAACGACTTCCATCCACTGTTTCAGTCCCCCAGTGGTTGCAATGGCTGGAGCTGAGCTAATCCGAAGCCAGAAGCTGTGAGCTTTTTCCAGGTCTCCCATGTGGGTGCAGGGGCCCAAGCACTTGGGCCATCTTCCACTGCTTTTCCAGGCCATTAGCAGGGAACTGGATCGGAAGAGGAGCAGCCTAGACATGAACCGGCGCCCATGTGGGATGCTGGCACTGCAGGTGGAGGCTTTACCCGCTATGCCACAGTGCCAGCCCCATCTCCAACTGGCTTAATTCTTTAAAACAAAAATACAATCCATGTCCTGTGCCTTCGAGGTCGACTGTAAGTGCCCCTAACCAGGTGGGAAGCAGGTGCACTTGGTGAGAGGCTGTGAGGACGCCATGGAGCTGTGACAGGTAGGGTGCTGAGCCCGAGGGTGAGGGGCCTCGGGGCTCCCACGGAGGACACTGGCTGTGCCTCAGGGGTCGTACAGAGCAAGGGAGAGGCACAACCGACATGGTGGCAGCCCCAGAAAGTCACTCTCACTGGTGTCTCACGGCATACCCTGGCTTCAGGTCACTTCCTGGTCTTCCCTGAGGGTCAGGTCCAGCTCCATGGGCTGAGCTACCTCCTGTCTGCCTGCTTGCCTCTTGGTGCCTTCCCCTCCCAACCTCCTCCCTCTCTCTATGGCTCCCCCTGCCTTTGCCCTTAAGAACTTAATCAGCCCTGCCTGAGAGCGGCCTGGGGAGCAGCTGGCACCAGGGACAGAAATAGCTCCAGCAGAAGCCTGGTGTCTGTCAGAGCCCTGGGCCCTGGCAGGAGTGGGGGAGGGGAAAACAATTCAGGACCCTCCCCTTACATGAGACCTCCCCCCTTGGTTGGGGGAGCTCGGGGCCCACAGCTGGTACACCTGCCCTCTGACATGGGGGCGAGGTGGGTAATGAGGCCTCTGGGCTGCCCTGGGGGCTACCTCCTGGCCTTACCTCACTTCCTGGCAAGGAGTCTGGGGATAAGAGACACACCCACACCAGGGGTCACTTACTGCCCTCCCCATGGGGATTGAGGGTTTGAGGTCCAGTCACCCACCCCTTTCCTCACAGCAGGGGCCATTGCAGGCAGGTGCGCTGCCCTGACTGGAAGTTCCTGGGGCTTACACAACCCTCCCTGCCCCCTTCAACAAGTACTTAGAGCCGTGGATGTGAGCGGCTGGTATGTGTGTGTGTACCCCCAAATCACAGGGCTGTGCACGCTTCCTGCTTTGCTTGTCCTTCGTGGGAAGCAACTCCTCCCCGCTCCATCACCTGGATGCTTTAAGGCTCCTTGCGGCATATTTTTTCTTCGCTTTGGCACAGTACTTGTAGCGTACCAAGTTCAGTCCTGAGGCTTCTTACCACAGCCCTGTGCTGTCTTACAGAATTAGACACGATCGCTGAGAGGTTCCACGACCTGCCCGAGGCCGCCCCAGCGGGACCCCAGCTCGCTTCCTCCCGGTTGATCCCCTGCCCTGTCTCGGCAGGCCCCGGGAGCCATGTCTCTCCTCGCGTGGCTGCGGTGGAGCGAGGCCCCGCCCCGGCTGTCGGCCCGGAGCCCGGCGGAGATGGTGCTGGAGACGCTCATGATGGAGCTGGCGGGGCAGATGCGCGAGGCCGAGAGGCAGCAGCGTGAGCGCAGCCACGCGGAGCGCAAGATCTGCACGGGCGTGGACTACAGCTGGCTGGCCAGCGCGCCGCGGCCCTCCTACGACCTCAGCCCCGGCGAGCGGCTGCAGCTGGAGGACGTCTGTGCCAAGATCCACCCGTCCTACTGCGGGCCTGCCATCCTCAGGTGAGCCGCGGGGCCGCTTCGAGGGCAGCTGGAGCCAGGGGCTTGGGAGGTGCAAGGCAGTGGAGGAATCTGAAAGTGACTGCGGATCCAGGACTGCGGTTCAGAGGGAGGCTGGAGGCGGCGCCAGGAAGCAAGTTAGTTGGTTTGTTTGTTTATTTATTAAAAGGTAGAGTTACATAGAGAGGGAGAGAGAGAGGTCTTCCATCCGCTGGTTCACTCCCCAAATGGTCGCAGCCACCGGAGCTGCGCCAATCTGGAGCCAGGAGCTTCTTCTAGGTCTCCCATGTGGATGCAGGGACCCAGGGCTTGGAGCATCTTCTGCTGCTTTCCCAGGCCATAGCACAGAGCTGGATCAGAAGTGGAACTGCGGGGACTCGAACCAGCACCCATATGGGAAGCCAGCATTGCAGGCACAGGCTCAGCCCACTATGTCTGGCGAGTGAGTTTTGCTGCCAGAGAACTCCATGCTGTTCATTCTCCCTACACAGGTTGTTCTTACCCTGGAATTTTAAATAAAAGATTTATTTATTTGAAAGACAGATCTACAGGGCACACACACACACACACATCTTCCATCTGCTGGTTTACTCCCCAGATGGTTGCAACAGGCTGAAGCCAGGGGCCAGCAACTCTATCTGGTCTTCCCTGTGGGTGGCAGAGGCCCAAGTACTTGGGTCATCATCTGTTGCCTTCCCAGGTACAGTAGCAGAAATGCTGGATTGGAGACAGATCAGCCAGGAGTCCAACCCATTGCAGGCAGCAGCTTAACCCTCTGCGCCACAGCGCCCCACTCTGGGTGTTGGTTAACATGGTGGCTTCTCCTCCGGTTCATTCTCAACATTACCTTCTTAGAGAGGTTTTCCCAGACGGTCCCTCCAAGATCGGTTTAGTTTTCTTTTTTTTTTTTTTTAATTTTTATTTATTTATTTATTTATTTTATTTTTTGACAGGCAGAGTGGACAGTGAGAGAGAGAGACAGAGAGAAAGGTCTTCCTTTGCTGTTGGTTCACCCTCCAATGGCTGCCGCGGCCGGCGCGCTGCAGCCGGCGCACCGCGCTGATCCGATGGCAGGAGCCAGGAGCCAGGTGCTTTTCCTGGTCTCCCATGGGGTGCAGGGCCCAAGCACCTGGGCCATCCTCCACTGCACTCCCTGGCCACAGCAGAGAGCTGGCCTGGAAGAGGGGCAACCGGGACAGAATCCGGCGCCCCAACCGGGACTAGAACCTGGTGTGCCGGCGCCGCTAGGCAGAGGATTAGCCTAGTGAGCCACGGCGCCGGCCAGTTTAGTTTTCTTGTTTCACACTCACCTGCTGGAGGTGTGCGTGTGGACGTGTTGAACGTGCGTGTGCGTGTTGAACTTGACCTTACTGGAGCTGTGGCCCCTGGGGCCCTGTCGCACTTGGATCGGTGCTGAAATCAAGGAGGCACCCAGTCCAACCGGCAAGAATAATTCCCAACTCACTCAGGTTCTTTATGTGCACCCCTCTCTGTAAGGGGCTCAAGTGCATGAGAGAGCACTAAAACGCCCATCCTGTTAGTCTCCCCAAACCTTGCCCCACCCACCCCTTAGCCACAGCCTGTGCCCATCCTGCATCGAGCGCCTTTCTCCTTGAACCTCCCCTGACGGCCCCTGCCCTTCTTCAGCCCCATCCGAGCTGCTTTAGGCTTTTGATCTTCTTGCCGCCCCCATGTTTCTGTGTTCCATGGAAACCTCCCAGAATCCCGGCAGGCAGCCTGGGGTGGGGTCCTAGGGCGCTGGGGCAGCAGTCTCAGTGGCCAACCAGGCCTGCTAAGTGGGTGGGCAGGCTGGGCACAGGCTGTAACCGTTGGGGCACACTTCCTGCCATGCTGTCTCAAACAGGCCAGCTAATCTCTGAGCCCCCAGCACAGCCATTCTAGGAAGGGGAAACAGCCTGGGGGCACCCAGGAAAACCCGGGGAACGGGGGGTGGGGGGCACACTGAGTCTTCCTGGCCAGAAAGGGAACCATTCTGGAGGGCCAAACATCACCCTCACCCAGGTGACAGAGCTGCAGAAGGACGGGAAAGGACAGTGAGTCAGAGGCCACAGGACCAGTGGGCGGAGAGGGGAGGGTGGGGGAGGGTAGCCAGAAGGCCTGTCCGGGATCTGGAAGGCTGCCAGGCAGAGCACCGCCCCCACGGCCTCAGGGAAGCATCAGGAATTCTACATAGGCGAGTGCATTAGACCTCGCAAAAAGGTAGCTGTGGCTCCAGCTTACAGACGAGGAAGCTGAGGCCCATGGAAGCCAGAAGGCGGAGCTGGGATTTGATCTCACGGTCGGCGGTGGGCGGCAGCAGAAGCCAGGCGGGTGACTGACGCGATGGCACCGAGGGGGCGGGGCAGGGGGGGATGCCCGGGAGGCCCCTGCGGCTCCACAGCGCCCTCCCCGCCCGCGCAGGTTCCGGCAGCTGCTGGCCGAGCAGGAGCCGGAGGTGCAGGAGGTGTCCCGGCTCTTCCGCGCGGTGCTGCAGGAGGTCCTGGAGAGGATGAAGCAGGAGGAGGAGACCCACAAGCTGACGCGCCAGTGGAGCCTGCGGCCCCGCGGCAGCCTGGCCACCTTTAAGACCCGCGCGCGCATCGCCCCCTTCGCCAGCGACATCCGCACCATCTCCGAGGACGTGGAGCGCGACGCGCCGCCGCCGCCCCGCACCTGGAGCCTGCCGGAGTTCCGGGCGCCCAAGACCGACTGACCCCCGCCACTCCCCTGCGCAGGAGCTGAGCCGCCTGCAGGAGGGCATGATGGGCTGCGGGCCGGGTCCCCAAGTCCTGGAGCCTCCCCACCCTCTACCCTGGCGGGGAGACCACAGAGGGGACTCCACCGATGAGATGGAACAGCCCCGCCCCGCCCCACTCTCTTTCTCTGGACGCTGGGCCCCTCCCTCCCCTGCCCAGATGAGCAGCCCCTCCAGCCTCAATAGAGATTTAAGGTCTTGGCAGGCAGACCCGGCCCTCGGCCCCTCTCCTTCTGCTCCTATCTGGAAGGGGCAAGAGTTGCTGCTTTCTTTGACAAGCCCTGGGTTCTCACCCCAACTTGAGGGATGTCCCTGGGGAGTGACGAGGGATGGTGTCCCTTCTCTGCGGGTGACTCAGCCCCATGGGCCTGCAGATGAAAGGGCTCACAGCTGTGTTCACCTAGAAAATGAGGAAACTGAGGCTCCTTCTGCCTTAAGCTGCAGCCAGGCAGTGTGAGGTGGCTCCTGTGGGGATAGTCTTCACCCGGTCTTGGAGTCCTGGCTGTGATCTGATCCCTCTCTGACCGTGGCATTGGCGTGGAGGTCTGGGCTGCTCTCCCAGGAGTGGCTGGGGGTGGAGGTAGCTTGCTCAGTGCCCCGTCCACAGTGTCATCACAGGGGCTGGCTGACCCATCCCAGGAAGTTCCTCCCAGAGCCTTCAGCCCTGCTGCTGTGGCCCCAGGGCTCCTTCTCTCTCTGGTCACATGTGCTGTTTGCTTTCTGCAGGAAATGATGCCCAAACCTTTAACTGACCTTGGGGCACCTGGGTGAAGTGTTCTAGAAGAGGCCCCTCAAGCTTCGCTGTCTTTTTTTTTTTTTTTTTAAGATTTATTTATTTGAAAGGTAGAGTTGCAGAGAGAGAGAGAGAGAGAGGTCCTCCATGCACTGGTTCGCTCCCCAGATGGCCACCACCACTGCTAGAGCTGGGCCAGTCCGAAGCCTGGAGCCAGGAGCTTCTTTGAGTCTCCCACGCAGGTGCAGGGGCCCAAGGATCTGGGCCATCTTCTGCTGTCCCAGGCCATAGCAGAGAGCTGGATTGGAAGTGGTGCAGCCGGGACTCAAACTGGCGCCCATGTGGGATGCCGGCACTGCAGGCTGCGGCTTTACCTGCTGTGCCACAGTGCTGGCCCCCGTCCTTCCATCTTCTAACATGGGTAGATCTGGATGGCCAGATGGCCTCCCACATGCTCTGTGGTGCAGGGGGACAGGTCAGGACAGGTCAGGAAAGTGTCCTCCACCCTCCAAGGGGATCCTAATAGCAGTCCATGTAAAACACCAGAGGGAAAACGGGGAAACTCCATGTATTTCCCAGCCATGTTTAGTGGGGAAAATTCTTTTATAATGATCTGGTTTTGGATTATTTTCACTTGAATCTGGATGGAGAGTCATAGGATGGTAGAAATCTCCTGACACTATCAAGATGAGGAGCTGATTAACTTGTTAACATAATTGGTGGAAGTTGAGAATCACTTAAATAAAAACATACACCTTAAACATCCTCATGGTTTATTCGAAGACATGAGTTCATTTCATTGCCAAACTTTGGATGTAGGTCCAAGCTATGCTCACTTTTTTGTGGCAAGTTGTCTGATGGGAGTTCTGCACTTTAGTTTCATTGGTTTGTGTATATTTAATTGGAACAAGAAGAACAATGACATAAACAAGCAACAAACAGAAACCACTGCTAATCAGGCCACCGGGTTGGTATAGACCTGGAAAGGGGCTTACAGGCTTGCTGGATGCACTGGGTGGGGGTCAGTCCAGGTGTTGGAGGAACGGAGCAACATGGCATCCCGGAGGGAGGGTGGGGGAGCTGGCTAAGAGGCTGCCTATTACCGTCCTCCTTGTCTGTCACCCCTGATGGGACTGAGAGGTCACTGAAGCCATTTCGTGAAAATGTGTATCATGAAAAAACTACCCATGGATTTCAAAATTGCTTTGCACTTAAATACTCTTGCATTTAAAATTATTTAGCATTTGTGAGGCAGAGAGAGCAAGTAAGCTCTCATCTGCTGATTCACTCCCCAAATGCCTGCAACAGTTAGGACTGTGCTGGGGCCAAAGGCAAGATCCAGGAACTCATTCCGGGCCTTCCATATGGATGACAGGAACCCAATTACTTGAGCCATAATTGCTGCCTCCCAGGGTCTGCAGTAGCAGGAAGCTAGAATCAGGAGCCAGAGCCAGAGGACACAAACACAGGCGCTCCAATATGGGATGCAGGCATCCCAAGTGGTGTCTTAACTGCTGGCCAAACCTTTCCTGTCCACCCCAGGCACAATGGACAGCACCCACCAGCTCTTCAGATAGCAATTGTCCTACCACAGCCAGTCCCAGCCCACTAGGGTCTGGAAATTGTTCTGCATTCAGGCTGTTAAAGGGATTAATAACATCTGTTTCCAGTTATATTTCTAAAGGCTCAATAATAACAAACAAAAGAACAAAACGTTTGAGAACTTCCATGTGAGCACACATTGGATGAGCGGCTGGCTGTAGATGGGTTGTGTATGCTCAAGACTCAGCCCAACACCAGCAGCCACTAGGGGGCGCTAATGGGATTGAACCGTGGGATGATTGTCATATTTGTGCTTTTTGTGACTTGTTCAAACATACACAAAAATTAGAGGGAAGCAGTTAAGGAGCCCCCACATATGAATCACCAAGGTTTAAGGGCTATTAACATTTTGCCATATTTGTGTTATCTATATTTTTATGTGAAGTTTTTTAAAGATCTATTTTATTTACTTGAAAGGCAAAGTTAGAGAGAGGGAGAGATAGAGAGAAAGGGCTTCCATCCACTGGTTCACTCCCCAGATGGCTGCAATGGCCAGGGCAGGGTCAAGCCAAAGCCAGGAACTAGGAGCTTTTTCCAGGTCTCCACACATGGGTGCAGCGGCCCAAGCACTGGAGCCATCTTCTGCTGTTTTCGCGGGCCTTTAGCAGGGAGTTGGATTGGAAGTGGAGCAGCAAGGACTTGCGTTGAGGGTGGTAGCTTAGGCTGCTACGTCACAAGGCTGGCCCCATACATGAAGTATTGTAATATAAATCTCAGACATCATAACACATCACCACTGAACTTCACTAACAGATCTCTTTAAAAATTTATATAAAGGGGAAAATTCATGCATCTTTTTTTTTCTAAAAAGTATTTTTTTTGAAAGGCAGAGTTAGAGAGGGAGACACAAAGGGAGAGAGGGAGAGAGCAAGTTCTTTCAACCGCTGTCCACTCCCCAAATGGCTGCATTGGCCCTGGGCTGGGCCAGACCAAAGCCAGGAGCTTGGAACTCCATTCGGGTTTCCCAAGAACTTGGGCCATCTTCAAGCTGTTTCCCAGGCACGTTAGCAAGGGAGCTGAATCAGAAGTGGAGCATCTGGGACTCAAACAGGTGTTCATTTGGGAAGCCAATGTCATAGCTGGTGACCTGACTCACTGCACCACAATATGGACACAGAGATTTATCATATATGACTACACTACCACTATCAATCCTAATAAAATTAAAAATAATTCTTTAATATCATCTGGTACCTTGTCCATATTCACATTTTCCTAATACTTCCTAACTCTTCCAACATACCATTCTCACAACTTACTTCTTTGAATAAGGATCTAATCAAGTTCCACACATTGATAAGAAAGCTGTAATTTGTGTTAGACTTGGCCATAGGGTGTTGTTTAATTCCACAATAAAGGATTGCTTCAAGACAGACTGATCATGGAACATGCCATAACACGCTTGTGTTGACACATAGTTAATGACTGCACACAAATGATAATGATGATGGAAATTAACCTAAACCTACTTCCTACTTAGATCCTCATCAGAATCACCCGATTATAATTCTTCCACAGCAACCACAATTCTCTAACACTTTGAAAAGTAATGTGAAAATGTGATAGTGACAATTATCTATTTGGCACTACTTGCCACCTCCATGTTTTATTTTTTGAGACATGCTTGCAAAGAGCAACATAAAGCCTTCTCGCCTTTTCTCACTATCTCAAAATAAAGCACTGAATCTTATAGAAACAACTCAGGGGAAATCTCAAGAATTCCAATAATTGGTAATGAAAAACATTTATGTCTACTGCCAATGCCATCCATCCTCCTCTTCTTTCTTGTAGTCTCCCCTGCCCTTCCCACCACCCCAGTCTCTCAACTCCATCTCCTTCTGTGTGGTGGTGATTATTCATTTAGGGTGGTCACAGCTCTCTGCAGCTAGGGAGGAGAGCTGCTGGTGCCCTGGCTGACTTGACCCCAGTTTAGTTCTCCCGACACTTATACCCCAACTCCAGAGAAAGGCCTTGTGGCAAAGCCTAGCTATGTGTTCACCAAACCCGCTTCTTCATTCTCCTGCACTCACAGTGAAATGACGTTCCTGGCCTACTTTGCCTTGACAATGGCCATGAGACTGAGTTTGGCTGCTGGAACGTGAACTGATGTAAAAGGTTCCACTTCCAGGCTTCGCCCATTATGTATTTTTTTTATTTTTATTTTTGACAGGCAGAGTGGACAGTGAGAGAGAGAGACAGAGAGAAAGGTCTTCCTTTGCCGTTGGTTCACCCTCCAATGGCTGCTGCAGCCAGCGTGCTGAGGGCGGCGCACTGCATTGATCCGATGGCAGGAGCCAGGTACTTATCCTGGTCTCCCATGGGGTGCAGGGCCCAAGCACTTGGGCCATCCTCCACTGCACTCCCGGGCCACAGCAGAGAGCTGGCCTGGAAGAGGGGCAACCGGGACAGAATCCGGCACCCCGACCGGGACCAGAACCCGGTGTGCCGGCGCCGCAAGGCGGAGGATTAGCCTAGTGAGCCCAGGCTTCGACCATTAAAAACCTCCCCGAAGTGATTCTCTGTCCTTTTTCCCTATTTGCTGGCTGAGTGGAGAGGACTCTAAGATCTGAGAAGAGACCACAAGAAAAAAGGGGCCTGGGTCCTGAATAACCACATGGAAGGCCATGTTGGACTTATGTGACTTAGAAATACATTCCTGTTTGTAAACTCCTGTGGTTTGGGGCTTACTTTTGCTGTGGCCACTGCTCTGTAAGCAGAACACACTTTGCCTCACTCGGGATGTCTGCCACCCCTGGAGCAGGCACTGTTGCTGGGGATGGGAACTCTTCTTCCAGGGCCTGGGGCACCAGATCACAGCCCCACCTGGACCTACACAAAATGAGAGGGGGGTGCTGTTTGCCACAATAAAGTGGATGGGGAAAATATGAGATGGTCCCCCCAGATCAACTTCCAGAGCTCTAAGAGAACATCTGAAACCTCCCAAGTCTGAAAGATTTACTCTTTGAAAATCTAAACAGCTTCGTATTAAAATGGTTTTCCTTATTACCGAATGTTGTAGTATCGACAACTTAATGTCACCTTTGCTGCTGTACCAAGGCAGTTCATAGAAGCTTCCACCCCACCTCTCCTCCTGGCAAGCCT